GTGGCGAACGTTGCTGGCGCTTGGCTTCCCCCGACAATACGGGGTACTGGACCTTGGTGCCACGATGAGGTGGCCGGCATCACCAAGGGATCACTTTTTTAGAAACCAATATACGCATGAAACTTGACTGACGCTCTCATATCGCACAACGCCGGAGACGGCCGCATAAAAAGTTCCAGCGCTCTGACTAGTTCTGTCCGATCCACACNGTGGCGAACGTTGCTGGCGCTTGGCTTCCCCCGACAATACGGGGTACTGGACCTTGGTGCCACGATGAGGTGGCCGGCATCACCAAGGGATCACTTTTTTAGAAACCAATATACGCATAAAACTTGACTGACGCTCTCATATCGCACAACGCCGGAGACGGCCGCATAAAAAGTTCCAGCGCTCTGACTAGTTCTGTCCGATCCACACGCCGTGCGTATCACACATAACGGCAGCAGGAAAATTACGATACATCGTCGAAATGATAACTTCCCGCCAATCATCCGAGCAGCAGTTAAACGGAGCGCTCCATACGCAGTAACCGCGTGCCCTTATTTTCGGAACGCCTGAACCAAGAGCTCTGGACAACGAAATGGCTGAATGCAAGGGCCCAGAATAGTCTATACCTTACCTTCCCCTATTAAGTAAAAGAGGGGGAGAGAGAGAGAGAGAGAAAGTAAGCGAGACCTTTTATCTCGATCCCATTTCGAAACCCCTTGCCCCTCGTACACATAGAAAGGGGGACTTCCAGTAACCTCAAGGCCTTCCCCTTATAAGGAAGTTAAAGCTTGTAGTCCTACTGACGAAACGAAGGTGCTGAAAGCGCCCTTAACCCGCCTCCCGCGCGGAGGCGGAGAGGGTTGGGTTGGGTGGGCGTCTCAAATTACGCTTTGCGACACTTTCCTTGCGCAAGATAAGAAGACACGTATTATTTTAAGTTATAGGACCCCCTCTCAGCAAGTAGGGTAAGGCTTGACCATTCCTATCGCAGGCTCCCAGAAAAAAGTTTTCCGACCATAAGAAAACAAACGGGCCTTGGGAGGGGAGATTGGGGTACTTGTTATTTGTGCCACCACAAAAATTATTCGCAGCATCTTGCGGAAGTTTTTCATCGCCAAAGGAACCGGGTTTTGCTTTTGGACAAGTGTGGGCCAATTTCTTAGCTGGAGGATATTCCATCCGCCAAGAAGGAATATCCGCCGCGCATTAAGAAGGCAGTGGGCGGCTATATTGTCAGTCACGCGCCGGGCGGGCAGAGGGGGGACATACCGGAGTAAAGGCCCAAGCCGTCGCCAACACCATTGGCGATTCCCGGTTGGAGGGCAACCCTGTTTTTAAGGCGGTTCAGAAAGGCAAAAAAGTACGCTGCCCCTTCGCCAAGGAAAGCGCGGCGTTACCGCAGCGCCCGCGTCAGGCATTACGGCGCAACATTCTATGCAAAGTTGCGAAATACATCCTTCAATCCAAAAAACGATTATCGGCCACGGAAAACAACGAACAAGGCGGCCTAGGAAGCATTGGAATTCATACCCACCGGCTCAAAAAGAATCAACTCAAATAAAAAAGAGAAATTCCTCGGGTATTTGGGCAGGAATACCAACCCAAGCCGCCAGGTTCCGCGAAGCGGCAGCGCCCACAAAATCTCCCGAAATATGCCCCCCAAAATGGTAGACTCTCCTACGGCAGGCGCTTCCGCATTTCAATGCGTCAGTAAACGGGGTTGGAATTATTCCAGCGCCATCCGGCACCCCGTTCGTGGTGGAGCGGGCGCCGGGGGGCAGCCCTATTGCCAAAACTATATGGAGTCTTTTGGCTTTGAAACAAAGATGTCCATAACGAAAAGATTCTGAGAATTTGCGGAAAGGAACGCTTTCGAGGTTCGGGAAGAAACATGGCCCCCTTTTCATTATAACCCCGCGATAATCCAGGAGCAGAGCGGCTCAATACGCAAGAATTCTGTTAACTTTACCGGCCGCAGCGGGAACCCCGGCCCACATGCATCGGCCGGTTTGCAGAAAAAAAAATCCCAGCCTAACAAAGCAAGTCTGTCCAATGGAGAGATGGGAATTGGATCTTATCGGTGATTTGTTGGCCCTGAAAAAGGACCGGGCCACGCCACGCCCGGCATGGGTAATATCTAGCTGGTAGAGCGAAATTGCTGTACTCCAAAAAAAAACTTACAACATATTCACTAGGCAAGAAAGCTCTGTTCATAGATTGGGAAGCTCTTCCAACAACATTCAAAATCAAACCGCACCGAGTGGCGCGATTTGTTGTTAGTTTTGGTATCCCCCCCCNACTGTGTGATGCCGTAAGCCGGGCGCCGCAAAGTTCTCCAGGTGGCGAACGTTGCTGGCGCTTGGCTTCCCCCGACAATACGGGGTACTGGACCTTGGTGCCACGATGGGGCGGCCGGCATCACCAAGGAACATTCGTTGTTTTTTTTTTCTTCCTCGTGTCTTCACGACTTTCGTCGATGGCTCCGCTCCATCAGCCACCATCGTAGAGCACGTTCGTTTTTGCTTAATTTCTATGTGNTCGTCGATGGCTCCGCTCCATCAGCCACCATCGTAGAGCACGTTCGTTTTTGCTTAATTTCTATGTGAAAGGAGGTCCCTTTGTTTTGTTATGTATTTTGTTATTTTTTGGTGTTTTTCTGTTTTTGTTCCTTTTTTGGGTATTTTTGTTTTTGTGTTTTGTTGTTTTTGGTATTTTGATCTCTGTTTCGCTGTGCCGGTCCATTGAGGAAACATGCGCTGGAGGATCGGTCGGCTCAGTGCTCTCAACTGGGCCGGGAAAGCCTACTTGCCCCATTGGCCTTAGCTCTCTCAGGGGGGAGGCACATTCTGCGTGAGATCAACAAAAATATAGAGGGGAGATGAAGCTGAGAGGGGGAGAGAGGACTATTCCTGGACTTTCCCCCGATAACCACAAGAGGCGTGGAAAACGTTCTCCGCCCATTCGGTATGACAGAGCATTCCATAAAAAGAGGCACGCTGGCGCATGCCGCCGCAGCGGTGATCGAAAACGATCTCAACCCCCGGCTGCTGGCTCAGGTGGGGAAACGCGCAGACCACCCAGAACTGCCACGCAGCACAGCTCGCTACATAGGGCCTTGGGTCGCTTTGGTAAACAAGTCGGCACACCTAACGGCACATATTTAGACGAGGTCAGAAGTTGGGCTATGTTTCCATGGGCCCATCCGGTTGGTAGAAAGGGGTATGGAAAGCTTTTTGAGGGGCACAGCATTTTGCGACGCACCCATCACACGCGGGTGGCCGATAAGAACGGTGAAAGAAGGTTTCCGTTACAAAAGATAGATGTGGATACTTTCTCATTGCGCCGGATCCGGGGCCAACTCGATTCCAAGGCCCTGGAACGGTTAGGCGCAGTGTGGGGCTTGGTGCCGCCGCCGGCCCATTCCAGGAGAGGAGAACGAGAGCCCACCTTGAGGATGACAGAAGGGGGTGCCCAGGCCTGGGGGAAGGCTGGCGTTATTCAAACCGCGCCAACGCCAGCCACCACCGGGTGGATAGTGCCTTTTGCAGTCGTGGAAGAAAAGCCGTCAGGCCCACGGCGACGTTTCATTGCTTGGCCAAAAATAAAAAAAAATAAACAAGAGGGCTGCGAGGCCATGGCCCCTCCAGGGCATACTTCCAAGCGCCTGGGTGTGATTTGTGGTGGGGCAGCTTTTATTTCTGATCTAAAGGCATCCTTTTTCCAGGCAGGTTTGCCAGAAGGGACGCGCGGAAATTTCCGTTGTCGTGCGGAAAAGGGGGGCTGGTAGAGCCCGCGCGGCGCCCCATGGGATATAAATGTGGTTCGGAAATCGCGCATGCCATCACAAGGGTTTTGGCCAGTGACCCTGAAGCTGTTAACCCGCGTTGTGGACCCCGCCGGGGCTAACTCAACACGTGTGAATGGACAACGTTCTTATCGCAGGGCCGCGTAAAATCGTAGGGTTGTGGGGGGGCTTTGTTGCAGAAAACATGCGTGAATGCGGCGCGGCGGTGAGGACCCCGCCGCGCGTTATGAATTCATAGGGGTTTGTTTTAACCATGCGGCTTAGGCGGCGTCCCTCTGTGGAAAAACGCTGCGGAAATCGAGTGCGCCATGCCCCTGCGGAATATTTCGG